GACGACGACGACGACGAAGACGACGATGAGGAGGACTACGATGAGGACGACGACGACGATGACGACGAGAACGACGACGATGAGAACGACGACGACGACGAGGATGACGACGCCGCCGACCACCACCACTACGCCACGGAACCGCTATACTACTATTGCACTCCGGTTAGTCGGCCCCGCTACTTGTTTGCAGTAATATGCGTGTACTTTCGGCACCGCTCCCGACTTTTCGATCGAATCTTGATCAAATCTCACTACATGTTAGTCGTTCGTTAGTTACGATTATACAGCGTGGGCGTTAACATATCGGCTATCTCGTTATTCAGTTTTCTAGGACGATCGAGGTAAAATATATATAAATTTCATAAACCGAGGAATATTCAAGAACGTGAACGATTTAGGTAACATTGTCAAAAAACAGTGTGTAAATACGTTATAATGTTTTGCAGAAGTTAAATGTTTTGGTGTAATGTATTTCGGGCTATTGCGGCACCCAAAGCAAAATATATAAAATTCGCATGGCAGTCAACGTTTTGGCTCCGCTGCTTGTTTCAAGTCTTCACCACCGCGTATACTTTGTTTCGGTCCTATTCCGAATTTTTCAAATTAATTCTTGCTTGAGTCTCATTGCACTTCTCAGTTATACCCTATAGCCTAACTTATAGCCTATTAGTTGTCTAATCTCACACTGTATACGTGTTCTGACGAGTGTTCTGATGACTGGAACATCCGCAGATCGAAATATATACGACGATAAGAAGTTACATATTTGAACGTTTTGACGAATGAAATATCCGTGGACACTGATCGTTCCTAGTTCGTAATTAGGATAGCTGTTATTTCGTGGTACGAGGAGCATGATATTCTATGATTATGATAAGTTTATATGGTATGTGTCTTCCCTTCGATGGAAAAATAATCATCGGATTATCTCATAGAGGGTTGTTTGCCTAATGATACATAGCTAAATATTGAAATACTTAAAACTGAACTCGGAGTGTATTTTATTTGCTTACTTCCTTAAGAAAATAACGCTTTGTACTATAATTTCTCGTTACGCAGCAAAGTAACGAGGAAAGAGTCTCCAAGAGACGTTCATATTTATTCGAACTATCAATACCCTATCGATCCGGCTTTCAAACATTACATCTGTTATAGGAAACGAAGACTTGGTGGTGACGGCACGTATTCTATAAATATAAACAAGTCGCACAGCTTTCCATCTATATTTGCACCTTTACGACCACGCCTTCGATACTCATCGTTATCAATTTACCGTGTTTTGCTCACGATTTCACGAAAGTCTCCGTAAAACGTCTCTAGACGTTGCAGGGCTTGTCCATTCGCGAAACGAGCGAGCGAGCGGCACCTTAAAATACGGTCGCAGGACCGTCATTAGGAACACCTTTTAAGTGCGCCTCGGGCGAGCACTGTTGCCGCGATAAGGGTGGAGGCGCTTCCTTCTCGTACTCCCGTCAGCGTACGCATCGTGCGTAATGTGAACCGGATGAAGGGGTGGGAGGCCAGGAAGAGAGTGAACGAGAGTGAAAAAAAGAAACGAGAAAAGAAAAAAAGAAAAGAAGGGAAAAGAACACGGAGGAGGTAGAGCGTGCGAGAGACTAGGAGGGAAAAAAGGGAGCTTCAGTGAGAAGGAGGCGAGTATAAACGTAAAAGGGGAGCGACCGAGAAAGACTTTTAAAAAGAGAGACAGAGAGGTAGACAGAGAAAGAAGAAACAGATGTAGAGCAGCGAGGTCGTAACGAAGGGAAAGAGACGAATTACGTGAAAGAACGGATAAGGGAATAGGGTTCGGAAAGAGAGAGAGAAAGAGGAAAAACGGAGGGAGAGACTACTGATAGATAAGAAAAGTCATCACGGTCAGTGCGCGCGCCGCGCCACACCGTCATTCATTGATTGCATCGTGGCGTGCGGTCTGCCGTGGAGAACGTACGTTTCACGTCGCTAATGTGCACCGGATGAAAGGAGAAAGGGAGAAGAAACGGACGAATATAGAAGCGAGGGGAAGCAGAGAAAACTACCGGGAGTAGGAAGGCACACTTTGCCGGCAACGTATATTCGGCTTTCTCTTTCTCTTTTTCCATGTGCCCGGCAGGTTCTTCTCTCTTTATCTCGCTCATTTTCTCCGCCGTTCGCTAGCGGTGAAACCAGACTCGGTTAAACGGTTCGCGCGAAGAATTCATCGTGGCACGAAAACCGACAGCGGCTACTCCACAGGAATTGCGCCCTTTTGCAACCAAATTCGAGATTAGCCAAAGAAGGATACGATGCTCGTTCACCGATAAATTTTTCCATCGTACGTTTCTACCTTTCCTGTTTTGTATATTAAAATTTTTAATTACTTTGCCTCGCTATCGGAATATCGAAATGTTATCGAGAAATTTGTACAACTGTACGGCGTATGCAATAAATATCAATTTCAATTTCCATTTGAATTTTAATTACGCCTAGATACACAACCGACGTTTTTCGTGTAAAAAAACAGAGGACGAAAAAATGAATGTACGAGCGGGGAAGCAAAAGGGAAAGAGCTCGAGATAAGTCATCACGGTCACCAGCTCAGCCACGTCACGGCACGCAGTCAGTCATTCATTGATTGTATCATAGAATAGTGAGCGTACGCTGCGCAGTGCCGTAATACGACGTACACGTAAACTCGCGTGGCGTTGCGAGCGGAACAGAGAAAAGAGGAAGGAAGAAAAAAAAAAGAAAAAACGAGAGGACGGAATACCTCGCGAGTACTCTGCCGAGCAAATATTGCGAATGATTTCTCGGAGCACTCGATCCCACGTACCAATGATTAATCAGCGAGGAGCAGTAATATTTTGTTTGAAACTGCAACGAGATAGTTATCATTACGCGCTCGTTCCCACTGGGTCGCTGTGTCTTTAATTATTTTCTCCGTTCCATATATCGAATACGGGAGACGATGCGGTAACAGATATTACAAAAAAAAAAAAAAAATATCTATGAAGGAAAGAAATTCTACGTCCTTACGAATAGAAGAAAATAAAGTAAGGAATAGAATAATCCGAAGGACGCGCGTTTCGTATCGTACGATTAAAACCCAACGAACAATTTTTCTCGTTGAAAAGTAAGTCCCTAATCTAATCTCGTGCGTCTTAACAGTGTATCTAACCACTCTTGAAATATAAAAATCTGAACTACGTTCTTCCTCTACGCACAGGGATAAAGATAAATTCGTGTAGAGCCACTGTGGGAAAACGCATGCATATTAGTCGAAACAATTAGTAGATTACTGCCATGATCCAATTTCATTGCACCGATCAAGCGAACACAAGCAAAGGGAGTTACATATATATTCTTATAAAAATTGATTTTGATCGTGAAAAAAAAAGAAATGTAGGAATACGATTAATGAGTATAAAAAATCCATGTTTTGATACGATAGAAATATAATTGTTTTAAACGGCATATCACAAAAGTTGAGAGAGACTGGAGTTTTGTTTAGAACATTTAACAGTACGCGCTAACAATAAGAGATAACGATTGGATCGAGGCGGTTGGTTCAACCCGTTTACCAATCAGATGTAGACAGGAGAAACGAGAGAAGAGACGATAGAGGAGGAGAGAAGTAGGTCTAATTAAGAGACGTAAGTTTATTAAACTCCGGGCTTAAAATAGCGGGCGACACACTGCCCAGGAATGTAAGGACAGTCCGGTTTTATTGTCGGTCGAGCTCCAAGATTAATTCGCGTGGACTTTTCTAGTCCGCTCGTCAGAAAACGTTTCGTGAACCGAGAATCGACTTCGACACCGACACCGTGGAAACACGATCGTCCTCGTGAAATAAAATTCATACAGGTAACGTTGATTTGGAAGGCCTGCGGGGTTGCGCTCGAGGCCCACAGCCCCGAATCGAAATTAGAACGGTGGATCGATCGATCGCGCGAAATT